AAAAAAAAAAAAAAAAGAATTTGACATCAGAAGTCAGGCAAACCTGAGTTTGAAAGTCATTTTACCACTTCCTGATTATGTGATCTTGTGCAAATGACTTCACCTTCCTAAGGCTCATTTTCCCCCCTAAAGGAAGAATGATAATTCTTAATATTATAATCGTAGCTAACACTCACCCAATATTTATTTTAGCCAAGTACTGTTCTGATCATTTTACTTGTAGCTAAGTACGGTTCTGAATATTTTACTTGGATTAGGTCGTTTGGTTCACTTAACCCTTATTCGTTTGACCCACCTTCTATGAGATGCTGTGGTAGTACTCATTTTACAGTTAGGGAAACTGAGGCCAAGTCACTTTACTGAAGTAAAGTCACTTGCTCGGGCCCATATGGCTTGTGACTTCATGCCTCTCTGGGCTTCAGTTTCATCTGACTGCCAAGGCCCTGATACTTCTCCAAGGAGACAGCACAGGGCCATCATCAGGGTCCCTGGAGCCTAGAGTAGGCGGGGCTTCTAGGCACTTAAGCCTTCCTTACCTCGTTTCCCCCACCCTGGTCCACAGGGAGCAGCTCCCCGAGTCAGCCTACATGCACCAGCTCTTGGGCCTCAACCTCCTCTTCCTGCTGTCCCAGAACCGGGTGGCTGAGTTCCACACGGAGTTGGAGAGGCTGCCTGCCAAGGACATCCAAACCAATGTGTACATCAAGCATCCTGTGTCCCTGGAGCAGGTGAGGGGGCAATGGGAGGGGCAGGTGTGAAGGTGGTGGTGCAGGCACAGGCGTTAGGGAAGACTTCCTGGAGGAATGGGCAGGGTTCACCTGTTGTTGGCTCATTTGCTCATTTGTCCACAGCTGTTGAGCCCCAGCCATGTGCTGGGTTGGTTTTCAGACCACTGCAAGCAGAACAGGCTGAAATCCATGATATGGTGGGCATGACATTCAGATGAGGAAGCAGACAGTACATAAAAAGATTTTTTTTTAAAAGATTAATTTATGTGGTCTGTCAGGTGTTAAGTGCTATGAAGAAAAAGTAGCAAGGAGGGTGGTGAGTCGGGGCAGGGGTGAATTTTTTAATAAGGTGGTCAGGGAAGGCCTTGCTGAAAAGGTGACATTCGAGGAAGACTTGAAAGGGGTGAAGAACCCAACCATATGGACATCTGGGGGGAAAGTGGTCTTGGTAGAGGGGGCAGCCAGTCCAAGGTCCAAAGGCAGAAACATGCCTGGCATGACTGAGGGAAAGCAGAGGACAGTATTTCTAGAACAAGCTGAGCATGGTCAGGGGAGAGCCTTAGTACCTGAGGTTAGGAAGGAGTTCCTAGAGCTGAGGTCTCATGGGAGGATTTTGTTGGGGTTGGTAGGGAGGATGGGAGAGAGAGCAGTTATGGCCGGCAGCACAGCTAGAGCAAAGGAGTGGAGGAATGAGCTTGGGGTGGATCCAGCTCTGTCTCTCCTGTGATTGGAGGATAGATAAGATCATTAGCTACCAGTCCAAGGCAGGTTGGAGAAGGAATGTGTGTGTGTACGTGTGTGTACATGTGTGTACGTGTGTGTACGTGTGTGTACACGTACCAACCAGGGAAGGCTTCCTGGAAGAGGACGTGTCCAGTCTGCCTGGGGAATGCATGACTGTATGGCAAAGGGTGTTCTGGCAGAGGGGATTATGAAGGCACTGGGGATATGGTGGGGCCTCAGCTGGTAGCCCTCTGTGCTACCTCTTCCTCATCCTCTTTTCCTGCCCACCCCCGCCTCTACAGTACCTGATGGAGGGCAGCTATAACAAGGTGTTCCTGGCCAAAGGCAACATCCCTGCTGAGAGCTACACTTTCTTCATTGACATCCTGCTTGACACTATCAGGTGCGTGAGGGGCCAGGGTCCTGTGGGGTTCGGAAAGAGCTTGGACTCGAGTCAGAAGGCCCCAGGTTGAATCCCATTCTGGCCATTTGTGATCTGGGGAAGCTGGGCATATCGGTTCTCCTTTTCTGTGAACCGGAACTTGTCATGAGATTGTGGAAAACAGCCCTCATTTTACTCTGGGCCGTTAATCCACGTGCCCATACGTGTCAGATCCAGGGGTGGGCTTGGCACCCGGACAGCGCTCAGCAGACGAGAAGCAAGCCTGTCGTAGAAGTGCTCCAGCCCGCGAGGCATGTGACCTCACCTCAGATCACCTAAACTGTGGAACCCTCGGTTTCCTCTTCCTCAGAGAGGGGCCGTGAAGTCCCACTAGCCCCTCAGGGGTTGCTGCGTGCACAAGAGACATCACACGGGCGGGTGGGCCGACATTTCCATGTGCCTTGAGGAATAAAAGGGTCCAGGTGGTGGTGGAGCTAGTTCACGGAGGCAAAGTGCCAGACGGAGCTGGGTTTCCATTTCTTGGATGGCAAAACCAAGCCCAGAGATGTGGTGGGAGTGAAGAGGGGATTTAATGAGTTTAAGCTGTTTGCAATTAATATTTTGGCTCTCCAGAATGAACAGGGAGTGACATAGTGAGTGTCTGCTTACCTACCACTTGGTCTGGGAGATGAAATGCCTCAGAAATGGATGCGTACGCTCCCTGTCACTGTTTCTGCCCCGTCGCTGACCCCTCCTTTCATTTCAGTGATTTGATCCTTGGCTGTTTTTCTACTTCAGTGTTGATCTTGGTACCTCTTAACAGTGGTAGCAGGGAACCCTCTCAGGATCAGATCTAGAAATGGGGTACAGCACCCTTGTGTGTGTTGGGTGGGGTGGGGGTGGGGGGGCGTTCTGTAAAGAGATCCTCTCACGTGAATCCCAGGCTGGGTTTCAGACAGTCTGAAGTCCTCATGGCTGAGAGTGGGATTCAGAGTGTGGGCCCAGGAGTCTGAGAGCTCTGGACCCTATTGTGGCCCTGGCTTTGCAATTCTGGTCAAGCTACTCCCCCTCTCCAAGCCTTGATTAAACGGGGCAGGTAGCATGTTCCAGCCATCAGTGCTGAACTGAAGGGTCAGAGCTCACACATGTCAGGCGGGGAGGACAAGGCCTGGAGAGTTGTCTGTGCTCAGTAATGAGAGTCTCATCTTTCCCCAGGGATGAGATTGCTGGGTGCATCGAGAAGGCCTATGAGAAAATCCTTTTCACTGAGGCCACCCGGATCCTCTTCTTCAACACACCCAAAAAGATGACGGACTACGCCAAGAAGGTGGCTGGGGTATAGGGCAAGGGGCCGTGGGGTCAGGGGTGTGCTCACAGCAGGGTGGGATGGCCTAGAGGGACACTGGAGCAGGATTGCTGAGGTCGAAATCCATCTGTGTGACCTCAGGCCGGTTGCTGAACTTCCCTGAGCTTCAGTTTCCTGATCTGTAGAGTGGAGCTAGAATTTAACATGTGGGATGAGCACAGCACTTGGCATGAGGTGGAGGTGGACACATGATACCTGTTGAGCTGTTGTCCTTAACAGAATTCCTTGGAGGTTGCAGCTTTTCTCCACTAGACTTTGCCTCACTTGGCCTGGGGTATTTATGCAGGAGCAGTGCCCCTGGAGATGGTTTATGCATGTGGTGCACTGACCCCGGTCACTGAGCAGGGTCAAGAGCAGAGCGGAAGAGGTGGAATTGAACTCGAACAATGGTGACAACTGACCTTTAGTGATCGTTTACTCTGGGCCAAACACTTCTCCGTGCTTTAGAGGTGTTGATTCACTGAATCCTCATAGCAGACCCGGGGAGGTGTGTGATCAGAGTCCGTCTCTCAAACATGGAGAAACGGAGGCACAGAGAGGTGAAGTTATCTGTCTAGAGTTGTGCGGGTAGAGTAGGTTGGTAGAGTAGAGCAGAGTAGGGTAGAGTACCAGCAGGCCCATGTCGGTTCGTGCTGGCTCTATGGGGTGGGGAGGGAGCCTGTGTGATCACCCCACCCATCTGTCATCCTTCCCTTTCTGCAGCGAGGGTGGGTTCTGGGCCTCAACAACTACTACAGTTTTGCCAGCCAGCAGCAGAAGCCAGAAGATACCACCATCCCCTCCACGGAACTGGCCAAACAGGTCATCGAGTATGCCCGGCAGCTGGAGATGATCGTCTGAGCCATCAGGGGCTGGGGTGGGGCAGGGCTTACGTTATTTAAAGCAGTTGCAGTGCAGGGTTCCCCCCAATAAAGGTGGATTGACATTCTCTCTTCCAGGCCCTTGTCTCCCCGGGTGGAATGATGGAGAGACAAGTTCCTTATCTCTGAAGAACTTAGAAGTTTGGGGGCCCTCTGGGGTCTGAGATAACCCTCTGTTGGGTCAGCCTCTGTCCAGTGGCCACTGCTCAGGGTTTCAAAACAGCTGCCCACTGCAGGGGCCCAGTTGGAGAAGGAGCCCCGGTCCCAGGCAGAGGGACTGTAGTAGCCAGCTGTGGACATACAGGTTTTTCAGCGAAGGGGGTGAAGCATCACAATTTTAAAAATGTTTGCAACTAATTAAACCAGTTTGTTAAATGACCTATGAAATGGAACCCGTCTGTGGGCTACCAGTTTGAGACCTCTGTGGAACCATTGGTGTGGGCCCTGGCCTGGGATTGCCCTGGTTCCCACCCTTCCTGAGCCAGTGCTGTGACTTACGACCTCCTGTACCGCCCCCAGCCTGTATCTCCTGCCTTGAAGTTCTCGAGAAGGTATTTTAAGGCAGAGTCCAAATCTGGCTGAGCCATTTGTGGGATGTGGGATTTTCAGCAAAGTCTTCCAGAGTCCATTTTCCCGCTGTAAAAACGGAATGATCACCCCTGCTTTCCAGAGTGATTTGTGCTGAACATCTGAACTTGTTACCGATCAGCTCAAATGGAGTCATGGGGTTAAGGGTAATGCGACTGTCTCACCTCTGGGCCCATCAGTCCGGATGCTGGATCAATGGAACCTCTGTTCTGGGTCCAGTCTCCCTGTTTCCAGGATGTGCTGCTTTCACGGAGACCTCTGCCCTCCCGATCCCATCCCTTCGACCCTAAGCAAGTGACTGACAGGTAGCTAGATATCTAGATGGTTATTTTATTGTCAAGGAGGGGGACGCAGAGGGCATTGAGCAGACTGCACTCAGTTGGAATGGGTGGCCTGCAAATCGTAGTGCTCCAGCCCGGCCACCAGGGAGCCAGCCAGCTTGATGGTGGCAACCCAAGGCGGCTCGCTCAGGTGGTTGGTGGGCGTGCTCAGCCTAGGGGGAGGGTAGAATCAGCAGGGCATTGCCATGTGGCCAGGCCCTTAACCCTTACAGGTTTCACTTTCCCCATCTGTATGAGGGGCCATGTTTGAGCATCAAAACAGTCTAGGGCAAGGCTGTATCCATTCAAATTTAAAAGGGAGGCTAAGGGTTGCTGATTCTGTGTTCTGAGCATCCCCTCAACCTGTCCTGCCTCCACTGAACCCCAAGGGATCCAGAGCAGAGGGTCTGCCAGTGATTCAGAGTCTCAGGAACCAAGGTCAGATGGACCCTGATGACCAGATCCTGAGATTCAGTGTGTGTGTGTGGAGGCGGGGTGGAAGAGGTGTAACTGAAGGATGCACTCTGGATCTAAGGACTCAGGCGTAGCCTCTGCAGCACAAGGACTGGGGCATCAGTGCCCTCTGGCTGCCAAAGCCTTGCCTCAGGAGAAGAGGCTGGAGGGGTCAGGAGTGCCAGGGGCTAGGCCAGGACTTTTCTGGAGGCATGCATTCCTCCCCTCTGCCCCTCTCCCTGAAAAGCTTGGGACATGGTCCTTCTTGGTGCCCTCAGGACAGGGTCAAGGCCTTGAATAGGATCAGGCCAGCTGGCACCAGCTTCCCTCCCTGATGGCTCCAGAAGGTCACAGGGGCAAGGGTCAGCTTGGAGATCTGGATACCAAGAGGTTGGGCCTAGGTGTTCCCTCTCCCTTGTCATGGGTCAGGATGGTGTCAAGTTTCTTCTAGCTCCCCAGGGGATTGGAACTCAGTTGGGTTTGAGATACAGCCAAGGGAAGGGTAATGGTTCAGCTGGAGTCGGGACACCAAAGCTGAATGGGTCTCTATCCAGGAAAAGTCGGGTTCAGGACTTTTAAGAGGTATTCCCTCCCCTCCTTACACCCCGACGACCTTCCCTCACCAGGCAGATACGTTGCGTGGTAGACGGCGATGACGCAGCTGGTGGCGGCAGTAACACTTGCAGGGACAAGAGTTAAGCACCTGGAAGGGCGGCCAGTGGCGAGTGGTGCCCGTGTTAGCCGTCCCTGCTGGAGGAGCCCCGCCGCGACCACCCCCTCCACCTCCGCTGTCAGTCACGGTGGCTGCAGTACGTTCCCGAGGAGCATCTCCGGGGGCGCCCGCCGCGCGGGTCGCACCCCTGGCTGCGCGGGGACCCTTGTTCCTGCGCGTGCGGGCCTTGATGGGCGCGGGCGCAGGCAGCGTTGGCTCCGCTGTGGTGGGAGCTGGAGCCGGGGATGGGGCCAGGGCCGGGGCCCGGTCGGCAGCCAAGGCGAGGGGCAGAATGGGAGCCGGGGCGGGAGCCAGGGTCGACTCCAAGTGGCCCGGGACTGGGGTGGGAGGGCGGGCCACGGGCGGCGGCGTTGGCTGGAGCACCGGCGGCTGCGGTGTGGGCGGTGGCGCGGGAGGAGGCGTGGGTGGTGGCGTGGGCGGCGGCGGTGGCAGCAACTCCTGTGGGCCTGTTGGCCCGGGGCTCACAGGCTCGCCGTTGGTGGGCGCCGGGAAGATGAACATAGGCGGCGCCAGCAGGGCTGGTGCAGGCCTCCGGGACCCCGGACCCGGGTGCGTCTGCCCTGGTGGAGGCGGTGGGGAGCCCCAGGGCCCTGAGAGCGTGGCCGCGCGCCGTCGGGGCGCCCCGACACTGCCGCCGGCTCCGTTGAAGCGGAAGTGGCGTTCAGGGCCATCGGGAGGGCTCGCCCAGTCGAATTTGGGCTTCGAGCTTGGAAAGGTGGTGTAGGGTGGCGGCGGAAGGGCCCTGGCATGGGACACAGGCGCCGAGGGGGGTCCAGAACACCCCTCGCCGTCTCCATCACCGCCTTCTGCTTCTTGAGACTCCCGAGGGACCTCTCCCGAGGGTCGAGAGGGCCCAGGAGCCAGGGACCCCTGCTTCAGGACTTTGGCGTAAGAGATGGAACCCGAGGCAGCGGAGAAGAGTCCTCCTCCTCCTCCTCCTCCGCCTCCGCCTCCGCCCCCGAGCGAGGCTTTGGCAGCTGAGGAACTCGACGCTGCCGCAGGGGCCAAAGGGGGCCCCGACTTGAAGGTGACTTTACACAGCAGGCTCAGGCCAGACTCGGAGACCGCGGGCCGGGCCATTTCGCCCTCTCCTGCTTGGGGAGGTGCCCCTCTGCGGGCTCCCCTGGCCGTCTGGCCCTCGCTGCCGTACCCCACCTGGTTTTCTGTGGGGGTTGTGGCGGGTGTGGCCCGAGCAGGAGTGATTCTGTGGCCCGGGGGCTGCCGGTCGGAAGATGGCGGTGGCGGTGGCGGCGGCTTCCGCGGCGCCAAGAAGGGCGGAGTAGGGGATGGGGCCCTCGGGAGAGAGTCGGGGTCCTCTCCAGTTCGTTGCCGGGGCGGCGGCGGCAGTGGACGAAGGCTCGGAGGATCTCCCTGGCCGCGATGGCTCGCCTCCAGCAGACCGCGGATCCGGGGCACCGGCGCAGGAGTGCCCGTGGGTTTTCGCCACTTAGACGGCGCGGGCAGCAGGGTCCCCACGGGGGGCGGGGGTGGTGTGGAGACCGCGGCCGCAGCCGCCCCCTCTGAAAGGGGCGTCACTGGCGAGGGCAGTTCTAAGGTCAGGGGCAGGGGCGAGGGTGAGACCTGGGGCTCCGGGGGTACTAGGATTCCCGGGGGCGCGGAGCTGCCAGGGAACCAGACGCCCAGCCCTCGAGCCAGGCGCATGGCCGGGGAGGAGGGGGTCACCTCGGGCTCCACCGGGGACCTACGGCGGGAGTCAGAGGAGCGGTCCGAGGCCTGCTCTTTTCGGGAGCCTCCGCCCGCGGAAGGCTCCGACTGCACGTTCCCCATTTCTGAAGGAGGTCGGAGACTGTGATCGGAAAAACTTCCGCCAGTCAGTCCGCCCAAACTGTGGGGACTCTACGAGGCTGACTGTATTTGGTCGTACACGTCCGCGCCAGACCCTCCCCTGTGCTCCAAGATCCGTTCAGGCACTCGTCTGTCACTAGTCTCTCGCTGCATTCCTGTTCTCTGACTCTCGAGGCTCAAGCCTTCTTCCCCAGCGCCCATTCAGCTGCTGTCAGGCCTTCTCCCTCATGGCCCCATTCAGCTGCTATTCAGACACTTAGGCTCCATCCTCTTAGTGTACTCAGATTCGGTCCCTGTTCCCCCCACCCAACCCTCACCCCGGCTTGTCCCTCAGGTCACATCCCTACACTTTGGCCATGTCCCCGGTCTCCAGGCTCCAAGACACAGGTCTTGCCCGCTTTTCTGTCAGTCTGTCAGGCCACATCAGTGATGATGATGGTGCTCAGTAGCCTACAAAGCCTGCAAGGAGTTCTAGCTTCTCTCCAGGCCTTCAAACCTGGCTCTGGAGACCCAAGCCCCGCCCATGCTCTCTGGTCCCGCCCCCGATTGTGTATCGGGCCTCATCAACCCCGCCCCGGCCTGGCCTCGCCTCCGCGGTATTCTTGTCTTACTAGCCCTTCAGTCCTCACCTCCAACCCTCCGATCCCTCTCTCTGTGACGATCATTTGAGTCTCTCCCTCTTCCCAGGCAGCGGCAGATCTTCGGGTCTCACTCTTAAACTTTTAGGGCTCCTGGTCTACCCGCCTCCTTCAACACTCAGGCCCCACCCCTTCCCCCAAGCTCCGCCCTGGCCCCGTCTTCACCCAGAGGTTCCCACTCACCGACTCCTCCAGCCGACCAAAGTTCAGACCGCGGCCCCCTGGGCCCAGGGCAGGGTGGGGAACGGCCGTAGCAGAAAATAACCGAAAAGAACGGGGGTGAAGCGGGTGATGGCAAGTGGGCGAGACAGCGGGGGCGGACCCCGAGATCTAGGCCCCGCCCCCGGGCTCGAGGCCCCGCCCCCCTGTGAGCCAGCAAGGGGCCGGCCCCTGACGAACCTGGATCTCACTTTGAAATATTCCGCTGTCTTCCTCCCCGCCCCCAGACCTTGTGGCCCTAGGCCCCACCCCTTTAGAACGTTGTCCTTAGCTCCTCCCCCTTATAAATGCTCCGCCCCTCTTCGTTAGTCCCTCCCTCGAAGCCCCGCCCGTTACGGACACCGCTACGTAGCTCCTCCCTTTAGGCTCTCATGTGCTCCGCCCATAAGGCAATTTACTTCTAAACTCCGCCCTTTAAGGACCCCCACTGCATCTCTTCCCAAGACCCTCTCCTCCCTCAGGCCTGCCTAGAAGGTTCAACCACCGTGGACCCGCCCCTTCCATGACGCAAGTGCTTGTCCGCGCCCTCGGCGTCCTCAACGACTCTCCTTCCCAAGGCCCTCTGGCCCCGCCCCCTTGCGAAGGCTCCCTTCTCGCCCCACCCCTTTTCGATCCCTACCAGGTAGTCAGCCCCTCCCATTTAGAACCCAAAGAGCAGACCCTCACCTTTTTAGAACCCGGAGAACAGGCCATGTCCCGGACCCTTCCCCCCATCCTCAGGGATCAATGGCGCGGATGAGTGGGAAAGTGGGGTGATCTTCTCTGGATCCCGAGAAAATGGGGGCTGGGGGGCTGTTCGCTGGAGCCAGTGGCGGGCTCTAGGACCCAGCGGGCAAGTACGCCCGCCTCGCGCTTACCCCTCCCCCAAGCCGCCCCCTCCCCCTCACCCATCTTCCAGGTTCCCCCTCCCTCCCCCGTCGCCCCGGCTCCCGGTGCCCGTCTCTAGCGCCGCCGGAGCCAGCGAGGGAGCCGGAGCGAACAGGAGGAGGAGGAGGAGGAGGCCAAGTCGCCGCCGCTCGGAGCCCGGCCGGAGCCTCCCAGGCAGGTGCCAAGGGGGGCGAGGGGGCGGGGGCTGACAGACTGCCTGTCCCGGTGAGGGGGCGGCCAGGACCGCGCTGCTCCTCCTGCCCACCGGGGCGCCCCCCAGACCGAGGCTGGAAGGACAAGGGGTTGGGGGCCCCTAAACTGCGCGGCAGCCATTTGGGGTATCAGTCTCCATTTGGGGGCCTGGACTTCTCCGAAGACGCCCCATTCATAAAATTCCGAACTGGACCCCTACCATTGAGGAACTCTGGGGACCACTCCCCCAGGGAAACAGATGTGTGGGGAGCGTAGGGCATTCAGAAATCCCCGCGTCCCATCCCAGCTAGGCCCTGGGGGACCCCTGCCCTCTTTCTCTGCTTCACCTGTTGTCGGGGGAGGCGGGCGGACAAAGGAAGCAGCATCACGTGACTGCTCATTCACAAAATCCCATCCCATTGAGAAAAGGGGGCTGGGGGCGCTGCGACCGCCCCTTACCCTCCCGAAGGGCTGGGGAAAACCGGCAGCCTGCAGGTGGGGGAAGGGGCTACAGCTCGCTGCCTGGGTCCCTAAGGTTCAGACGCCAGGGTCCCTGCGCTAGGTGGTAGTGAGGGGCTGGACGCTGATCACGATTACTGGGCGGAGGGCTACGTCCCCTGAGCTGGGGGGCGGGGTAAGATGGTTCTGAAGGATGCTGGGGCGGGGAGGGGGAGGAGGAGGGATCAATTCTCCACCTCCCCTCAGTCTCTCTCCCTTGCCTTCCATGGGCTGGGACCTGAGGGAGCAGGCTTGATTTTTGTGAATGAAATGCACTCTGGTTGTGTCTCGGTCGTCCGTTTCTGGCTTCCTCTGCCTCCATCTCCCTTTCGGCCTCTCTCTGGCCATTTCTGGTTCTCTCCCTGCTCCCTGCCCATCTCCCGTTGCTGGGTGACTCAGTGAGCTTTGCATCCGGTCTCATTCATAAATCCGGGAAGGGGTGGGGGGAAGAGAGCCTGGGTTTCTCACCCAGCCAGTGGCCTGGGCGGCCGAGTGTGGAGGCAGTGTAGGGGGATCTGGAGCTGAGTTGATGGGCTCTAAGAAAATACATATGCGCAGGCACCCAGCTGTGAGGGGGAATGATGGGTGGGGCTGTGGGAATGTGCTGAGGGATGAGAAGGAGACTGGGTTGATAGGGGAAGAGCAGGGAGGGGGAAGGGAAGTGGAAAACTGGGGCTGTGGGGGTCAGGATGGGAACGATGGGGAAAGGGACGAAGGTGGGTGCGGAGAGAAAAGGTGGACACGGAGAAGGTAAGCATGGGAGAAAAGAGGTGGCAATGACGAAGAAAGAAGCCATGCTGGAAGAAGGTGGGCATGGGGGGTGGGGGGAGAGGCAGGTATGTAAGGGAAGGTGAGAATCGGGGCCTGACGGTGCAGTGGATCCAGATGTGAGGGAAGAAGAGGGAGATGAGGCTTGGGGTGAACGCTGAATGGCAGAGCAGGATCGGAGCTCACTGACTTTGTCCCTGTCTCCCCACCTCCTGCAGGTACATGGTTCAGGTCCGAGCCGTGGTGATGGCCCGAGATGACTCCAGTGGGGGCTGGCTGCCTGTGGGGGGCGGGGGCCTCAGCCAGGTGAGCGTTTGTCGGGTCCGAGGGGCCAGGCCCGAGGGGGGGGCCCGCCAGGGGCACTACGTCATCCACGGGGAGCGCCTTCGGGACCAGAAAGTGAGCCACCCCGGGGCGTGGGGGTAGGGTGGGGGCATGGGGAAGTAAGGGGATGGGGCTGGGAGTGCAGAGGTGAGGTGAGGTCGACTCCCAGCCCAGAATCAGCCTGGGGTGTGGGATGTGGTTTGGAAGTGAATACCTGTCTTTGGATAAGAACTGGGAGTTTGGGGAATATCTGGGGTATTCGGCAGGTCCTGTCCACTGCTGTTGCCTGGAGGGCTATCACAGCAGCCTCCTCACTGGCCTTGCCCTGCTCCTGCTCTCTCCCTCAACCGCAGTCTGTTCCACAGGGGCCCTGCTGACCCCTGACTCAGAACCCTCCTGTGGCTCCATCTTGCTCAGAGATCCTTGCCAGGAGGCCCTACACCACTGGCTGCTCTAAGTATATGGAGGCATTTGGTGGGGAACCATCTGGAAGCGTCAAATAGGGTTTCCAGTCCTATATGTGGGTTCAGCAGGAGTATCCTGGGCTGTCTGGCGTGAGCTGGAAGGACACTGTCAAAGTTTCAGCTGGGGATGTGGCAGAAAGACGTGGATTGTTTGAAAAGGCTTGGGGGATGGGTTGCATCTCAGAGCCGAGGTCAGAAGGAACAACGTAGGGGGATTTGAGATGGTGTGAAGGAATACAGTGACCTTGGGCCAGGATATGAGGAAACATCTAGGGCGTTGACCAGCATCTGAGGGGGAAATCTATGGGAGTTTGATAAGAATTTGGGGGTAGTGTTTTGGGAGATTATTGGGGCATCAGAAGGAGATTAATTGTAATACCTTGAGATGTTCAGCAATGTTTGGGGGGGTGTTATTGAGTCAGAAGGAGGGATGTTGGGTTATCAGAAGGGGCTACTAGGAAAAGGAAAATGTGGAGACCAAGGGCTTGGGAGAAATATTGGAGCATCAGAGGTGTGCTCAATAAAATTTGGGGAGTGGTGTTGGGGTGTCGATCAGGGTTCAAGGGTACACCTAGGGTTGAGAAACGAAGTTTGTGGGATGCTTAGGTATGCAGATAGACTGAGGGTTAAGAGGAAGACACAGGCATGTCTGGAAGGGGGTGTCTGACCTGCCCCCTCCCTGCCCCCTCAGACCACCTTGGAGTGTACCCTGAGGCCAGGCTTGGTTTACAACAAGGTGAACCCCATCTTCCATCACTGGAGCCTGGGCGACTGCAAGTTTGGGCTGACGTTTCAGAGTCCCGCAGAAGCGGACGAGTTCCAGAAGAGCCTGCTGGCTGCACTGGCTGCACTGGGGCGAGGTGAGCGGTGCAGGCCGTGGTACTGGAGGATGGGGTGGAGGGGTGGGAGAATCTGGAGCCTGGCCTGGGGAGCTCACTGTCTGCCTCTCTCCTTGCCCCAGGCTCGCTCACCCCCTCTTCCTCCTCCTCTTCCTCCTCCCCTTCCCAGGACACCGCAGAGACTCCCTGCCCTCTGACGGTGAGTCTCCTCCAGGACACGGCTCTGCTGGGGGTGCCGGGGGGCTGTCTCTATCCTACAAACATTCTTGAGCATCTCTGTATATCAGGCACCATGCCACATGCGGGGGACACCAATCTGGGCCCGGACTGTTAGTGTCAACTTAATGCCAGCTATCCTTGTTTTCCCATTCTGTCGTGGGTCACACATTCATTCAAGGGTATTTATTGAGCACCTTCAGTAAGTAGTGTTTTAGGCACTGGGGATACATCAGTGAACAAAACAAAGTCCCTTTCCTCATGGAGCTTCTATTCTACTGTGGAAAGGCAGAAATTTTTAAAAAAAATTTACTTTAGAGCGAGTGAGAGAGAGAGAGAGAGAGCGCGTACACGCGTGAGCAGGGGAGAGGGGCAGAGGGAGAAAGAGAGAGAATCTTAAGCAGGCCCCACACTCAGTGCAGAGCCCCACGCGGGACTCAATCTCATGACCCTGGGATCATGACCCGAACCGAAATAAAAAGTCAAATGCTCCACCGACTGAGACACCCAGGCGCCCCAAGACAGAAACTTTTTTTTTTTAAGATAAACTATCTTTTACAGTGAACAAATTAATGACAAGTCCAGCCTTCTAGTTATTCAGGGTATAATCCTTGGACTCATCCCTGACTTTTCTCCTTTTTTATGCCCCTCATCCAATCTGTCATCAAATATTGGCCTCCCTTTCAAAATGATTAGAATTTGAATGTCCAGCCTCACCCTCCAGCTGCAGCATTCCCACCAGCTTCCTATTGCCAACTGCCCCCCTCCTCTCCCTACTGCCTGGAAGGTCCCCCCACACGGCCAGAGAGACGCTATTGATATCTGAGTCAGATCATGGCCATTCCTCTACTCAGACCCCTTCCAGGGCTCCATCTCACTCAGGGTAAAGGACAAAGCATATAAGATCCCATAGTGTCCGGCCTCCTATCCTCCGTTTTGCTCACTCTGTTCCAGCCACGCTAGCCTCCTCACTGTTACTCCTACACAGCAGACACGTTCCTGTCTCGGGGTCTTTGCACCGCTGTTCCTTGTGTCTTGGAACACTCTTCCCCAAATTTCCACATGGCTCGTCCCCTTATTTCCTTCAAGGTTTTATACACATATCACCTTTCCTGAGTAAGCTGTTTAAAAATCGCGTCTTCCAATGCTCCTTATCCTGTTCTAATTTTTTCCCCATCTTCTAGATATTTCCCCTATTTCCTTTCTAAATAGACGATTTTCTTACCTGTTAGCGTATTGCCTGTCTCCTGTGCTAGAATGCCAGCTCCAGGAGGCAAAGATCTTTTGTTGCTTTCTTGCTGCATCTCCAATGCCTAAAACAGTGCCTGGTATACAGTAAGTGTTCAGTAAATATGTGTCGAATAAATTTATTGAATGAATAAATGCACATAATGTCAGACGCGATTTGGCATTTGCTGGGAACAGTGGGAGTTGCTGAGACTTAGGAGAACAAAACTGGTTCCCGGGGCAGAAAAGCCGGAGTCCCAGGGTCAGGGGAAGATGTGGGTGGGGCTACCCAAATCACGCAGACAGTTCCCACGTACTGAGTGCTCTCTGTACTTCCCGCTGTCTGAGAGTTACGCTGTACTTTCCACGCTCCGTCTTACGTCCTCACAGTGGCCTTTGTGAGCCTGGCATGTCATGGGTGCTCAATGAATGTTTACTGAAGCTAGTAATGGATGAAGTCAGAATGATCCCCAAGCTACAGAAAAGAGTCCGAGGTCTGAGAAGTGACGTTTCCGTTTGTAAGGGACGGTTGGTTTGGGTGAGGAAGGAGAACATTCCTGGTGGGTGAAGCTGCCCCCGTAAAGGTGTGGTGGTGGGAATGAGGCAGGAAGGTGGCTGGCTGGCCAAGGGAGAGGGGTTCTGGGAAGGGAGGATATTTCGATGTTCTATAGGTTGGTGAGCTGAGCAGATAAGAAGAGGGGGTCAAATAACAATAACCGTTTCCAGTCTCCCCATACTTCAGGCATCCTCATGCCCTTTACAGTGGGCCCTGACCACATCCTTATGAATAGACACTATTATGATCCCCATTTTGCAGAGAAGGAAACTGAGGCTCAAAGAGATGAGCTCACTTGCCGGAGGTCACACAACCAGTCAGTGGCAGAGCCGGGGCTTGAACCGAGGCCTGTCTGGCCGCAGAGCCCTCGCTCGCCACGGGAGGGGGTCTATGTGAGGGCATCGGCTGTGCCGGGGGTTCGGCTCTGAGGCCGCCAATCTCCTCCAGTCCCATGTGGACAGCGAGTCCTCCTCCAGTCACAGCCACCAGGAGACGCCTCCCACCGCCGCGGCGGCCACTATCATCACTGTGGAGTCAGCTTCTGGCTTCGGGCCGGCCACGTCCCCCCAGCGCCGGCGCTCCTCCGCTCAGGTGCGACCTCTGACCTCCAGCAGAAGTCTGGGGCTCCGGGTGAAGTGGGGCAGGGTGCTGGGCCCCGAGGTAGGCGGGAGCTGAGACCCCCCAGAAGGGCAAGAAAGCCACAAACAGATCCTGGGGGCCGGCTGACTTGAATTGATGGCAGTCGTGGTGGGAGGGTGCTTGCAGACTTCGGTCCTTCCGAGGGTTGGGTGAGGGCTTCCCGTGTCTCCTGCGCTCTTGAAGATTTTGGAAAGTTCTGAGTTCTGAACGCAAGGGTTTGGGGGACGGCTGGGACAATTCTTCGAGTATATGAGGGAGTTTTTTGTATTCATGGAAGGAGTTCTTTAGACTGCTTAATTTGTTAGGAGGGTCATGGTATCCAAGGAGGTTAAAGCTCCCTGGGGACCAGATTCCTGCGTCCTGAAGGAGGAGATGGCTGGGGGTCCAGAGCTCCCAGATCTGGGAGCTGGGACTTCCTGAGTCTTGAGAAAGGACAGGCCTGGGAGCCTGGGCCACTGGGTCCTTAAGGTGCAGGCTTGGTGCCTTTGGTCTGTTCTTTGGTATCCTCTGTCCCCTGTGAGAGGAGTGGGCTGAGGGCTTGGAAGTCTGAGTGCTGGACCCACACACTCAGGATCCCAGGACAGCCTCCTAGGATGAATGAGGCCTGAGGCGGGGGTCTTTGGATTCTCAAGTCTTCTGCGACTGGGATGGATTGTAGTGGAGTGTGGGGGTCACAGACCCTGCTAACCTGTTCTCCTGTCCCTTCGTCCCGCAGAGCTACCCTCCGCTCCTACCGTTCACGGGGATTCCGGAGCCCTCAGAGCCCCTGGCCGGGGTAGGGGGCCCGGGCTGGGGCGGCCGTGGCTATGAGGATTATCGGCGCGCTGGGCCGCCCGCACCCCTCGCCCTGTCCACCTGCGTCGTGCGCTTCGCCAAGACCGGCGCGTTGAGGGGTGCAGCCCTGGGGCCTCCCACCGCGCTACCCGCCCCTCTCGCCGAGGCTGCGCCCCCAGCGCCCCCGGCTCGCCCACCACCCGGCCCCGGCCCTGCCCCTGCGCCGGCCAAGGCCTCCCCGGAGGCAGAGGAGGCGGCGCGCTGCGTGCACTGCCGTGCGCTCTTCCGCCGCCGAGCTGACGGGCGTGGTGGCCGCTGCGCGGAGGCCCCGGACCCGGGTCGCCTGCTGGTGCGCCGGCTCAGTTGCCTGTGGTGCGCCGAGAGCTTGCTCTACCACTGCCTGTCAGACGCCGAGGGCGACTTCTCGGACCCGTGCGCCTGCGAGCCGGGCCACCCGCGTCCCGCCGCGCGCTGGGCCGCGCTGGCCGCCCTCTCCCTGGCGGTGCCCTGCCTCTGCTGCTATGCGCCCCTGCGCGCATGCCACTGGGTCGCGGCACGATGTGGCTGCGCTGGCTGTGGGGGTCGCCACGAGGAGGCGGCGCGGTGAGGACGGCCTGGTGGGTCCAGTAGCTGCACCGAGGACCCAAAATTGAGGGTCCAGGACCCTGGACTCTGTTCGGACCCCAAACCCAAACCTAGGCACACCCGGAACTTGGAGCTTGAGTTTGGATTGAGAGACCCCAGACCTGGAACCTGGACCCCAAATCTAGGACTGAGAGACCCCAGACCCAGCTTCATTGGGATGTCTGTCCAAGAGGTCCCAGGCATCCTGAGTTCTGGTGTCCCCATCCTGCCGCCATCCCCTCCCTGACCTAGACTGAGGAGACTCCAGGCATCCCCCAGACTCCACACCTCGGGCAGGCTGGGGAGCATCTGTATCCCTGAGAGATGCAGGGCCCTGAACCCCAACTCCCTGTTCAAATAACCAACCCAGACCCTATCATGCCTGACGCCATGAACCCTCAGATTACAGCCCCGGAGTTAGTCAGGAGTTACCAGTACCCGACCCTGCCTGTATACGATTCCTCCCAGATCTTGAGACCGTAGAACCCAGATTCACCCCGGATGGTCACCGAATGCTCACCTAAAGCTTGGGGCACCCATATCTGAGATGTTCTTGTAGCCTCCAGGACCCCTGAGACACCAAACTCTCTTACAATGCCCTGAGTCGTTCGATATGCCCAAACAGATGTTCTCTGACCAAGATGACTTGGGAGACCCATCTCAGAGTCTCTCCCATTCCCCCCCAACCAAGATCCAGATGTCAGACTCCAAGATGCTCTGGGAGCCAAGGACCAAAGACCTCTGTAGACCCACCCACCCCAAGGCAGTGTTCCAAGGAGCTTTGGATCTCCTATATGGGACTCTGATGTGCCTCGTACTCCCCTATGTAGTACTGAAGGCCACCAACACCTTGGGGTCCAAGACACTGGTCCCAAGTCCTCGGATAACCCTTTTTCAAAACCCGTTAGACTTGGATTTCAAGCCCCATGATAGTCTGGAATCTTTGGCTGCTTTGTATCCACAGATCCTCAATTCCCTAAAGGCTGGAAGCCCAGCTCCCAGAAGATGGGATGTTCATGGCAACCCAGACCTCTGACCCCTTGGCCCCCAGCCCCTGAGCGACCCCAAGGTGCTTTGGGAGCACTGGTCCCAAGACCCCAAGGTGCCATTGATACCCCAAATTCAGGGCTCGAGCCTACACAACATTGGGATTGTCCCTGCTCAAGACCTTGGTCCCTCCATACCAGAGACAGAACTGAAGTGCCCCAGGGCCATAGCACCTTCAGATCCCAGATTTCTTTGGACTCAAGCCTCTTAAGCCTGATATTCCCCAAGACCTGCTGCCCTTGAATCCTGATGTCTATAAGCCCCTGAAACCCCAAGGTCCCAGACCTGAATTCAAGTCCTAAGGATCCCAGCCCAAGCCCCCAGCATCTCACAGAACTACCCTTTTACTAGGGTACAAAACAAACATTTTGAGCTCATGTTTCTGAATTCCATAACTACCCCAGAGCTCCCCCACTCCCATCTTTAGGACCTAGCATTGCCGTAGATGATTGTGCAAGCTGTTCACTAATCAAAGCCACACAGTCAAGGTGGGGGTGTGGCTGGAATTCACACTGCACTCTGCTGGCTACACTGTGCACGAAGTCACTTTTTAGGCTACCTATGGATCTACACACACACACACACACAGACACACATGCACACCCCTTGCACTCAGCCCCAAGCCCGACCTTGAGCCCAAGTCCTAGTCCAAACTTCTTCTGTTCTGCCCTGTTAACCCCTTCCCTTCCATCTCAGAGTTGGGGATTGCTTTGCGAAGTTTGACAGCCTATTTCATGGCCCTCTGTGATCCCTCTTCTGGGCAAGGGGGATGTCACAGTCTCTCTCCAGAGTGGGATGGGACTTCCAGGGTACCTCAGATCTGATGGCCTGAATGGGAGGATCAAGGTCTTGGAGTAAGACAATCTCAATGCTCTGTGGGCTTGGGACCTGCATCTGGTCCCAAGCATCTGGAAATGTGCACTTACCTTTCTTCATTACCCAGGCTTGGATGACCTTGTAGGAGTTCAAGGGATAGGTCAAGGGGGTCAGAGGGCTAGATCCTTCTGTCACTTCCTTTAAATTATTAACTATTTATTACATCCGGAACCTGTGAGATTCAGCTCTCCCAACCAGACCCTGGGATGGGTGAGAGAATAGGGGGATGTCCCTCCCATCCCCACTCTGCCCAGCTCTCATCACTGTCAGACCCACCAGAGCTGAGGGCGGAGGGACCGGGGGCTGGGGCAGCCTGGGTCCCCATCCCCTTCTCTGTGCCTCGGTCTCCTCCCTTCCGTGGTGGGCGGGGGGAAGCTCCATTCTTAACCTACCTCGTTTTGGGGAGGGGTGGGACGGGGACCAGAGTGCTGTAAGGTGCTGTGGGATCTGCGGGTGAAGCGGTGGGAGCCGGGGAAGGTTCCCCCGGCCCCCACCTCCCAGCACCGCCTCTCCCAGGTCTCCCGGTCCTGCTCCCTGCTGATACCCACCTCTGATCCATGATTCCTCTTCATCACCCCCAAATCAGGGGTGCGTGGAGGGCTGACCCTGGGAGCCAGGAAGACCTCAGACCCTGGAGCCCCCAGGCCCAATTTCCCAGCTGCCTGCCCCTCAGATTGGATGCTTGGCCCCCAGATTTGGGGGAGGCACCCTGACATTTATCTTCCTGATCTCGATTCCAAGCCAGTCTGTGACCTCAATATTGTTATCAGTGCAGGCTGCAGTGGTGGGGGAGGATGGGGGCCAAAGACCCAGCCTTGTCATTGGGGAGGGGGCATGAAATATTCGCTCCAAGAAACGTCTGTGACAAAGTCTCAGCCTGTGTCCTTTATTTGCATTGATACACCCCATCCATTACCTTCCTGAACACCAAGCCAGTCTCCTACCCAATTCATCCTTTCTCCACTTCCTTTAGTCCCAGGCAGGCCCTCCGGCTGAGTTGCACACATTCAGTCACTCAGGTACATTTACTGTACACCCATTATATGCCAGGCCCTGTCCTAGGCACTGAGGATGAAGCAGTGAACAGAACAGACAAAACCCCGTTCCCACGAGAAACTTCTGAACTTTATCGTGGAGGAGACAGTAAATGACATGTTCGAAATGATGTGTACTATACAGAAGAATAAAGTGGAGAGGGGGGTACAGTCATTTTTAGCCAGGGTGGTCAGGGATGCCTCACTGAGGAGCTGACATCTGGACAAAGCCTCGAAGGTGAGGGAGTCCTGCGGACGTCTGCAGGGACATTCTAGGTAAAGGGGAACTGTTCCCTGCAAAGCCCTGGGGGAGGAGCATGTCTGGTAAGTCTGAGGGACATCGGGGAGTGAGTTTCTGGGGGGGGAGGAAGCAAGGAGGAAGATACTTCAGGGATGAGGGCAGACCTGTGCGGGTCCTTGCAAGCCATCGCATGGACTTTGGTGTTCACCCTGAGTGTGATGGAGATACAGGAAGGCTCCAAGCATGGGAGGGATGTGACCTGACTCAGGTGTTTACACGTTCCCCCTGGCCGCCTGCGGGGAAGACACTGGGAGTGAGTGGGAGGGAGATGGAGTGGGAGGGAGATAGAGAGGCGGCTGCTGTGATGGCCCAGGGGGAGACCGGCACCAAGATCTGCGTGAGAACAGTGGAGGCAGGGAGAAGTGGGCAAGATAACGGATCTATTTTGAAGACAGAATCCACCAACTTAAAGAGTTTACAAAAAAAAAGGAAAGGAATCAAGGCTGTGATTCCAAGGTTCCAACTTGAGCAATCTTTAATGTCTTGTTAAAGTCAACAAATGGTCCCAAGTACCCAGCCCTGGGGTAGGCAGGAGCATGCAGGATTAGGTCATGATTTTAACAACAGCAACAAAAACAGAAGCGGTCCTAACAGCAGTACTAGGTTAAGTGATTAAAAGCAAGGACTTCAGGATCAGGTCTGAGTTTGAGTCCTGGCACCACCACACATACTCTCGGCGGTATCCTCTCTGAACCTCATGTTTCTCCTCCCTAAAATGGATCTGAGATGCTTTAGTAGCACACACAAAATATTCAATATATGTTTTTAGTTACTGAGTACCCCGGGATGTCTACTAAACATGTACGTACAGGACTCATTCTCACGACTAGTTTTATCCTTGTACAGCTAGGAAGCAATTTGGCAGGGAGACACAGGTGGTGCGTGGTGGATCAAACCCAAATCCTAACCCAGGGTGCAATCTCTTAACCACGACGGGATATTGCACCTGCTCCCTTTCCAAGGCCTAGGGAGCCAGAGGGGAGAGGGCCCAACTCCCGCATTGCGATCGATGAGAAGGAGGGCCTCGCTCTGTTGGGGGTGCGTGTGTGAGGGGGTGAGCCGGGCTTCCTGAGTCCCTGACGGAATTCCAACCCTCAGTTGGAATGGTGGAAACAAGTTTCTGCATTTGGAGCGGAGCTGGGAGGACAACACTTGGTCTAGGGTGCTTCAAGAGCAGAGGGCATCTGAGGGAGGATGAGAAAAAGGAAACCGGTTTCTAAGCTGCAGCAATAGCGACACCCGCTGGCCTGTCGCGACAGCTGGGATCCTGAACGCACGCGCGGGATTCACAGAGCTGGGGGGATTCCACGGTCCTGACTGAGTCACCCGAAGGGCGGCGCTCTAGGTCTCCGCGCCTGCAGGTCTAGGGGCGGGTCCTACTGCCTCCTGCACCAATCGGAACGCCGAAGGCCCTTAGGGGCCGATTGGACGGAGCCGCAGCGGGGCGCCAGGAGCGCACGCCGCTCTTGGGGCGGGGCCTCCCTCCGGCCGGCAGGGGGCGCGCGTCTGGAGAACAGGCAAGCTTTCATGGAGGGGGCGGAGGCGGAAGCGCGGGAGTGGGTCGCTGTGGCCCGGGACCTGCAAGCCTTAGGGTAAGGGGAACGGGGTGGGGGGGGGGGGGGGGGGGGGGAGAGGTGGTGGCTAGGGGCACAGAAAGGGACAGGTTTGCCCTCAGAAATTCCTACTGACCTCTCCAGCCCCCTCCCGCTGCCTCGGCCCCGCCACAGGTATGAGGGTTTCTCGGGGGCGACGTCGCTGGGCACCTCGTGTCCAGACTTCAGGGCGCTGTGCGCGCGGCTGGCGGCGGAGCTGGCCACTCTGGGCGCCCTGGAGCGGGAGCGGGAGGAGAGCGCGGAGGTGCTGAGGGCCGGCGACGGTACGTGTGGAGCGGGCGGCCCGGAGGGGTGGGGCCGCGGAGGTCGCCGCCGCGCCCTGACGTGTCTCGCCTCCTGCAGGCCCCGGCGCAGAGGAGGAATTCCTGCGACAGTTGGCCGACCTGCTGCGGGAGTTGCATTGCCCGGACCGCGCGCTCTGCGGCGGAGACTGCGCGGCCGCGCCGCGGGAGCGCGGCGCGTGCCTGCGCCTGCTGCGTGAGCCGGGGGCTGGCCCAGGATGCGGAAGTGGGCGAGGCTACAGCCTCTAGAGGGGCGGGCTCAGCACCTTGGGGTGGAGCCAGGGTTCCCCTAAGAGGGCGCAGTCAGAATTGAGGCGGAACCGGAGGGTTGGCGGTGGTGGGGTTAGGATTTTGACGAGAAAGTCCTGATGTTTGAGTGGGTTGGGTTTGCTGTTGCGGGCCAGGTGTTTCCGATGTGGGCCGGGTTCGAAGTGCGAGCGGGGGACAGGGTCTCCAAGTGGGTGGAGCTTATCCTGGAGGTAGAGCCGGGGTTCTAGGTGGGCGGAACTAGAAGGCGCGAAGCAGATGGAACTTTCTGACCCCGGTGGGTCGGTGGGTCGGGTGGCAGCCCTCCTTGATTGCACCGCTCCTTTTTCCTTCTTTTAGGCTTTCTCTGTTCAGAACTTCAGGCTGCCCGCCTCCTCCGTCTGTACCCGCGGCTGGATTCCAGCCCCGCACCGCCCTGTGGGGAAGGGGCAGAGGAGGGAGATGACGTGGTTCAGGAACTGGTCCTTACCTTCCAAGCTCTGGGGCTGCCCAGACCTACGCCTGGGACCGCTGCCAGCCGGCTGCTGTGGGAGTTGCATGACAAGGTAGAGAGCTGGAGTCCCTTCCGCACCGGGGCCACCCCACTTTTCCTTGTGGTAGGGGGAGTCCTTTCTCCAAAAGCGGTTCTGGCAGGAGTGCCCCAGCCACAGGGATATTTTTCTAGAGCAGTGACCACCATTCTTGATTCCGACGCCTGGGTCTTCAGGACCATGGGGAACTGGAATCCACGGAAAGTACATCTGGTTTCTGCCTAGTCAACCTCAGACTCCTCCTTCTCCCGTCAGATCTCTGAGCTGCTGCCTTCCCTGCCCCCAGGATTCCTGCAGCCCCTCCTCAGCAACCCGCTGGACGCACCCAGATGGGTAAGACTGTGTGTGGCTGTATGCCAACAGCGTCCTCACCCAGAGATGAGAGTCAGGGGGACCCCTGGCATGACTGAGGCCTTTTTCCCAGGAGGCACTGGAGTCTCTGTGCCAAAGGCTGAGAGATCAGTACTGCTGTCGCCGCTGCCTTCTCCTCAAGCGCCTGGACCTCACAACATCTGCCTTCCACTGGAGCGATCGGGCAGAGGTGTGGGCATAGAGGACCTTGGCAGGAGCAGGGAGGACCAGTTTGGGGGCTACGAGTACTGGGAGGAGGAACGAAGGCCAGGAATATTTCCTTATACCAGGTTTTTAGATTCTTGGAAGGTTTGGGGCTCTAGAATGGCAGGGCCTCCAGGGCATTCTAAAATCTAGAGGCCAAGGACATTCTAGAATTCCCAGCTTTGAGCTGGGAGTGTCTTCGGAACTATACATAGCTCTTGTTTAGAGATGTGGGGGGTGAGACCCTAAGTGGAGAAAGAGATGCTTCCAAGATGGCAGATGCCACCTGGGGAGGGCTCTTGGGCACCTTTTCCATGCCTCCGTCCCCAGGCCCAAGGAGAAGCCATGAAGGTAGTGCTGATCCCAATTCGAGAGGCTCTGAGCCCAGAATCAGATGTCTCCATCGCACATGTCCTGGCTGCCCGAGCGGACCTGTCTCGTCTTGTCCCAGCCACCAGCAAGGCTGCCCGCCGAGGGACCTGCTGTGCCATCAACAAGGTGGGCACCTGGGAGTAGAGAAGGGCCCCAGCATCCTTGGCCTTCACACTTGGCTCTCTGGTCTCCGTGTTCATTTTTCTTCCCTGAACCTCAAATCTGATCAACTCTCAGGTGCTTATGGGCAACGTGCCAGACCGAGGGGGCCGTCCAAATGAGCTGGAGGCTCCCATGCCCAGCTGGCAGAGCAGAAGAGAGGACGGAGGTGGGCGGAAGGCAGGCCGCCAGAGCTGGGGTCGCAAGAAGAAGAAGAAGTAAAGGGGAACTGGTGGTCGAGTGGGGGGGATCCTCTCTGCCAATCCTCGCGGAGTCATTTTGAGAGTTTATCTTGGCATCTGGCTCCCAGGCCCCACATCCTCTGTTCCTAAGGTCCCAGGTGTCTTTCCCCCATCCACCACTCAACAGCAAGGACCACGTTCTCTAGAAAATAAATTTAATTTATGACAGCTGTAGGACCTGTCTCTGTGGGGTCAGGCCAGGGGTGCTCAGGTTTGAGAAGGGGTAGGGGTGTCTATGTCCACTGGGTTTCAACAGGCCCCTGTTGCTCTGACCCTCATAGTCCTTTGCTCTTTAGCAACACATCTTTCCCTTCCTGTGGGCATAGGGAGGAGACGTGCCGGCATTGGACGAACAGTTCTCAGGTGCCCACCATGTGCCAGCCCCGTTCTAGGCACCAGGAATACAGTAGCGAAAAGTATAGATTATAAAAACCCCTGCTGTCCTGGAGCTGACATTTCTGGTGACGAGGAGCAGACATTCAACAAGATAAATAGGTACAAAAGTATTGTTTGTCAGATGGGTAAAGGACTTTGGGGAAAAAACAAAGCAGGAAAACAGAAGCAGGACTGGGGGTGGATTGCAGCTTCGAGTATGGTCAGAGGGGCCTCACTGAGAAGGTGACATTTGAGCTAAGTCCCAAAGAGGGAGCCATGGAGGCCTCTGGAAGAGCACTCCAGGCAGAGGGAACTGCCAATGCAAAGGCCCTGAGGTAGGAGTATTTTTGGCACGTTCAGGGACCATAGGGTTCAGTGTAGCTGAAGCAGGATGAGTAAGGGGGTGGGTGGTGGTAGGTAAGGTCAGAGAGGTGACAAATAGATTGTGGGAGGTGGGCCACAGTGAGGACTCTGGCTTTCCCCGAGTGAGACCGAGGCGTGGAAGGGCTCTGAGCAGAGGAGGGACTCAGGTGTTCACAGGCTCCCTGTTCCATCTCTACTCCAGCCTTCTCTCCTGTCTCTGGAGCCCCAGAGTTAGGAACTCTGCCCAGCCTATCCCCTCCCATCCTGACCCATGCTGTCAGTGTAGCATATTGGTAAGGAGCTTCCGTTTTAGAGGCAGACAGAAGACCAGGGTTTGAGTCCTGCCTCCAACACTTAGGAGCTCTGCCACCTTAGAGAGCAGCTTAACCTCCCTGGGCCTCGGTTTCCGTATCTGTAAAATGGAGATGTAAGGACTCGGTGAGATGACACTTAGGTCTAAACATATCCACCATGAAACCACACAGATGCTAAGTGCAGGAAAACAGAATACAGGTTGTAGGCACTCTGATGCAAAAGAAGAAACTTTCGGAGTAAGAAATGACAAACTCTTCGCTGAAGGCAGTGTGGATGCGAAGGAGGTGACGCCTTTGGGGGTCCTGCTGGAGGCCGAAGAATAGGACTTGGGACTGACTGTGGGGGAGGTGAGAGAGGTCAGACCCAAGCAGGGTCTAGGAATTCAGCGTGGAGGGCTGGGTGGGCAGGGCCGTCGTTCGAGGGGCACCTGGAAGGAGGAAGACATTGGGTGATGTGGGGAGTGTTTGGTATCTAGGAGAAACTGCGAGGGGCGGAGCCTCACCCAGACTTCTGTTTAGTGGATGGATGAACATCCCCAGGGATGTTCTGGCTTTTTTTTTTTTTTTTTTTTTTTTTTTTTTTTTTAAACTCAATCTGAAGGTCTGTACCTTTGAAGAGTAAAATTTATTCCACTGACATAAATTATAGCTCCTGGTGAATTTGGCCTTATCTTTGTCCTTTTCTTTTTTCTCCTCAAAATTCTTTTTTTTTCTTTTTTTTAAATGTTTATTTATTTTGGAGACAGAGACAGAACATGAGCGGAGAGGGGCAGAGAGAGAGAGGGAGACACAGAATCCGAAGCAGACTCCAGGCTCTAAGCTGTTAGCACAGAGCCTGACGTGGGACTCGAACTCACAAGCTGTGAGATCACGACCCTGAGCTGAAGTCGGATGCTTAACCGACTGAGCCACCCAGGTGCCCCCTCAGAATTCTTCTTCTGTTCTACTAGTGGCTAGCCCCTCTTCCCACCCCACCAGACTGAAATTTTTATTTTTCCCTCAACATTAGAAATTAACCAGTATCTATACTCTCCTACCCAAGCAGTTGAGGACTCTTTCACCTTTTTGCTTTGCTATGCTTTTCCAGATCTGCCTTGGTTCCCCCAAGCAAATGGCCTGGTCTCCCCTGTATCCAGCTGGCGGTAGGGGGGCAGTCCCTCCTCACCGTCTGTGGTTCCCAGGAAGGGTGCGGGGGCTCTGTCTGAGTCCAAGCATGGCGAAGATGGTGCCCCGTCTCCGGCTCCAGGGATAGTGTGTAGGAGAGATTGTCCTCTGTGCCTGTTTGTGGGGTGATGGGCGTGGGTGGCGTGGTTACGACGGGAAGGGCCTTGTGACCTTGAAGTTAATCCCCATCCACCAGGCCCCCTTCCCGGGACTGCCACACCCTGGGTCTTACCACAGCTGGCGTGGGGAGCTGGTGTGGGTGGGCCAGGGGCTCCAGGGGGGCTCACATCGCCCTTGGCCCCTGGCCTTTTCTTACACTCCACCTTCACACGGTCTCTGCAGTGTTTGTGGCAACACAGCCCACAGTCTGAGGCAAGGTCAGCAGTTAGCGGCCAGAGGCCCAGCCTGGGCCCCCCAGCCGCCCAGCCTGTAGGTGCTGGATCCCCTCCCCACCACTGATGCCTCACTCACCCCGACAGCGGTAGCCTTGCTTGGTGACGCCCCAGAGCTGGTAAGAGAAAGCAGAATTGGTTACCTAGGCGAGGGGAGAGGGCTGTGGATGGGGGTGGGGTTGGTCTCTGGAAGCATGGAGACCATGTGGTTTGGGAAATTCTCCAGGCCAGGGGCTTAAGGGGGGATCTGGGGATTAAAGGGATTTGGAGGTTACTGCAAGTCTGGGGAGTCATCTAGGATATTAGAATTAAGTAAAATCTGGAATGAATGAAATGTACATTCTATGGGCAGGGATTGGGTTTCCTGTTGCCTGCTTGAGCCCCCCCTCCCCAGCCCTCAAGTCCAGAACTGCCTGACACACAGGAGGTACTCACTAAATATTTAGTGAATGAAAAATAGGTTTGGAAAAGTAATCCAAGGTATGTGAATTCGTTTTGGTTTGGAGACTGAGAGATCTGTCCATTATCCAGAATTTGAGGATACCTTCAATTTGAAAGTTATCCAGGGTTTGAATTAATCTGGATCCTAAAGACTTGGAAATTGATTCTGTTTGGAGATAATCTACAGTTTTAGATACCCATGGTTTGGCAGTGATCCAGGATGGAGATCATCTGGGATTTGGGCATTATCCAGACTTTGGGTATATCCAGTGTTTAGGGTTTACACGGGATGTGGGGATTATTCGAGCCTGGGGGCTTTTCTGGAACTTGGGGATCATCTGGGACTTGGGGACTGTGAGCCCTCCAGGGCAGGGCTGGCCTTTTGAGTCCAGGCCGTAAGGAGTTAGGACTTGGGACTCTTCAGGGGGGATGGGCACTAGGGGTGATGATAGAGGGGCAGGGTGCTCACGAAGCCACTGCAGCTGTCACAGAAGGTGGGCTTGCGGAAGGTGACTTCATGGAAGGTGTGCAGGAAGGCCAGGCCCAGCTTGGAGCAGATGGCGCTGGCCCGGAGCAGGTACGCCGTCAGCTCTTCTCGGGTGAAGGAGCCATTCCTAGGGGCACAGACCACCTCAGCATGACCGTCCCCCTTTCTCCCAGACTCGGGAGTCCCGGCAACCCCAGCATCCTCGTCTTTGGGGGACCCAGAGGTCGGGAGTGCTTACCCCGGGCGGGGCGGGGGGTGAAGCCCATGGCAGGCGAAGGGGAAGTTGCCTGAGAATCGCTCAAAGTCCTCCTGAGAGATGGTTCCTCGGCCTTCAGGGTCATAATTCTTGAACACAGACTTCAGGGGAGCATGGGGAGGGCAGAGTAAGGCCAAATCATGATCCTCAGTCTTAGATCTCGTCCTCTGCGTCGGGACTGTACAGATACCTTCCCTCCCGGCCCCTCCTCACCTCCACCAGCTGCTCCACATGTTGACCCAGGGTGACCCTGTCAGGCTTGGGTGTCACGCCAGGGGCCCACTCCACCACCAGGGGCGCTTTGAAGGGGGAGGGTGGCTGGGGCAGGGACAGAGGGGCACAGTTAGTCAGTGCATGGGCTGGGGCCGGGGCCAGGGGTCAGGGGTCAGTTCTCACCAGACTCTTGGGGCAGCGGGGCTCCCGGGCGTAAGAAAGCTCATAGATCTCGTCCTCCGTGTAGAAGAGATCCAGGGAAAGCTGCGGGTGGGCAGGGCATTACAGACCCTCCTCTCCGGCCTCTGCCCTTGGCCTGCACCCTGCCCGGATCCCCACTCTCATCCTCCTCCCAAGCCCCTCTTCTCTGGGGACTCCTAGGGTCCTCTCTCCCACCCAGCCACCATTCAGTCTCCACACCCCTGTTCCCTAGTCCAGAAATGCCACCTTCTCACTGAGGCCTTTTTTGGTCCTTTTTAAAATTGTAACCCCCTGTCACTTTCCTTGCTGGTTCCTACTTTGGCCTTCTCTATGGCACTTATCCTCCGAAAGACCATACGATTTACTCACTTACTTTGTTTTATTGGCTGTCTCTCCACTACCGGGAAGTCAGCCCCACAAGAACAGCAGGAGGTTTTTGTTGTTGTTGTTGTTCTTTTCATTTTGTTTTGTTTTGTTTTGTTTTTTCTGACGTGCTTACTGCTGTGAGTCTAAGTGCCTAAAGTAGTGCCTGGCTCAGAGCAGGTGCTCAATAAATATTTGGGCTTGATAGCCTTCTAGAATCAATAAAGCATAGGGCCTTGGGCCCCACTCATCTCAGGGCAAGGCCAGCTTCACAGGCAGGCCCCATACTTTGAAGGGCCCCCATTTCATTTAATGCCCTGCTGTCATCATCTTGAAATTCTTAAGAATTTTGAACAAGGAGCCCCACATTTTCATTTTGCGCCGGCCCTGCAAATTATGTAGCTGGTGGTCCTGTCTTAGGTCTGCAAATCAGTCTTAGACCTCATGGCCTTCAGAATCCCAGTCTCAATTTGTAGCTCCTTGGCAAGGAGGGGGGGAGGATATATATGTTGTTATTTATGTTATATAAATAGAACGTAGCTAGAATCGCACACCCTCAATCTCAGGATGTAGTATGGTGCTTAACACGTTAACACACGGGTTCTGAGGCTGAGCTGCTTGGGTTCAAATGCAGGTTTTACTGCTGTGGGACAGTAGGCAAGTGACTTCACCTTGTGGACCTCAGTTTCCCAATCTGCAGAATGGGCGCCACAAGGGTGCAGACGCTGTCGCGCCCAGGACTGTAAACCCCTGCACCCTCCAGGTGCAGTCTAGGGGCGCCCAGCCTGGGCAGGGGTGGGGCGGGGCGGCTCACCGTGAGCAGATGCAGCAGGTCCTCATTGGCACTGCAGGGCGGGTGCTGCCTCTGGAGGGCTGCCAGCTCCTGCAGCCGCAG